CTGCTTGCGCAGCTTCCAGCCAGTGCATTCTCCCTGCATGCTAGCGCACAAGTGCTTCAGCACTTCCACGCATCAATGCCAGTGGAGATCTGTCGTGTGGGGTGGCTGGCCTGGTCTCTTATAGTGCTGGCCTCCCTTCGCGAGGTTTAAATCAGTCCTCCTTGGGTCTTTCCCCAGTCCCAGACCACTGCAGAATGTGTCCCGGTACCTTTCCCTCAGGGTCTGCTGCTGCTGCGGCCTTTAGGCCTGAATTTTGGACTTTGGGTCTGAACCTGGACTGCCTATTGGACTTCGACTTGGACTGTGACTCTACCCCATTGACTACCATTCGAACAGACAACTTCTGCACGAACAGACACATCTACTGCACGAACAGACATGACTTGCACAGCCCCCGGGACGAACAGACGTGACTCTCACAATTGAATGCTGCAACTGTTCGTCCTGGGGTACAACTGTGACTTTTGACACAGCTCCTCACTTCAGTTAGGATGGGACTTCCGACCCAGACAACATGTCTTTTGATCTGCTTTTCACAAATTGAGTTCTGGCCGAGTGGGCCCCATTATGCCGCGTTCGTCATTCAGGGTCCGAACGGGTAAAGGCCCTTAAAAGATGGAAATGCGCCGAATCTGCGCGGGTGATTATTTCACGGTCAAAATGATTTTATTTATTTATTCTGATATTTTTCCTTAAAAGATCACGACCTAATCTCTGGACCCTCAAAGTTTCAAAATTTTTGAAGAATTCTTCAGAGCACGAAAAATTGCCAAAGTTGCGGCTTTCAAATGGTGGGATTGGACCCACCGGGAAAGAACGGTCGCCTCCCCTCCATAGAACCCGGGGCCGAGGGTTTTCGGCTGTCGGGGGAGTGGCGGTTCAAGCCGACCCTACATATTGGAGAACAGACTTAGGTGATACAAGCAGGCCCAGCAGCTACATACACAACCAGGCCAGCAGAGAAGAAACATGCTCAGAACAGCCAAGAAAAGGACTCTGCAAACTTCAGAGCAGACTTAGGGTGGACTTGAAGAACACCGGTTCAGAGGGCTGTACAGAACAGGCAGACTCAGTTCAGCAAGTTGAACAGATTGACCAGACTCAAGGCCATAGGGACGCAGATGCTGCAGAGCTTAAACCGCCAGTGCACGCCCCCAGCCTTGCTGAAAAGAAAACTCGTCGCCTACGAAATTTTTGGAGGCCCAGCGCCGTAGATAAATCCAATCGGCGGCGGGCAGCCTCCGAAAAGGGCCCGCGGCCGATAGCTGGATGTACTGGTGGTTTAACAGACACAGCAGACTTCAATCTGTGAGTCTCCTCGGGACTCTAGGACAGGAAGACACAGACACAGTTCCCCAGCAGAAGGACTTCGAACATCTAGACTGCGACAAAAACATTGCTGGCTCATGAACTTGGGCTCAGCATGACTGAGATGAGCGCTGTTCATCCCATTTTGACTTACCTTTCTTAGGAGCCGACTCGAACAGTCTGACAGACAGACTGTGTTGTAGCCTCAAGCTCAGCAAAAGGAAAAATCAGAAAACACTTCTCAGTACCCAAGAAGAGAGCCTAGCTCAGTGGGTACACCCACTGGCATGAACTGTTGAAAATACAGACCCGTGTTCGAATCCAGACGATGGAACTTGATGAATAAAGTTGTGAAACCAACTATTTCTGAATTGCCTGGGGCCGGTCAGCTTAACGATGATATCTCAAGTTTTTTTTTTTTTTTTTTTTTTAACACTTCTCAGTAATTGTCTGAGCCTCAGAACAACCGTAACGAGCAGAGTTTTGCAGACTCTGAATCAGGAAGAGCAGTCGCAGTAGCTTTCAGCGACGAAAAAGAGCAGCTGTAGTTAATTTCAGACACCCGGAACAGCAATCACAGCAAGATCTCAGCGAAAGCCACAGCAGGTAGGGAAATCGGACGCTACTTCTAAGTGGCGGCCTCCGAACTCAGGAGCAGGAGCAGCGGAAAAATGTTGCACGTTCGCAGAGTCTCAACAACAGTTTGATGTAGCAGTCTCAAGCGGCCTTGACAGCGGAGAAATGCCACGGCAGTAAATATACTGCAGATTCACCGCTGACATTGGAATTCAATCTTGTCTCCTCATTCATTCTGTCATAGGCTGGACATGCCATGCTAGATTTAAAATCTGGCTCGTTGGCCTACATGTGAAACGGTATTCACCTGTTCGCAGTAGCCGATGCAGATCCCAGGGCTCGATCCCTAGACTTACCTTACCTGTGTACAGTATATGTGTCGACCCCAGGAGTTGAACCCACGGCCTGTCTTTCCCCACAGTTAGTAGGTTGTCGTAGGTCTGTAGCGTGTAGGGGTTCGATCTGTAGACCTGTCGAATAGTGGTATTAGGGAGTTCTAGAAGTCGTAGCTGTAGGACCTCTGAAAGGTCAAGGTCGTAGCTGCTACAGTCCTGAAAGGTCAAGGTCGTAGCTGCTACAGTATCCGAAAGGCCAGGACTGAAACTTCCAGAAGGTCCTGGTACTGGCCTTTCGAAGCTGCTCACGTTTAGGCTGAGGCAAGTGGGCAAGTGGTGGAGTCCACCCGTGCTGAGTCAGCAGTCCCAATCCCAGTCAGTCCTAGTCCAGTCAAGCAAGAACCGTCTGGGGCTGTGTGCACCACGGGCATGGGAAAGGGGCAGACCAACGAGATACAGAAGTATAAATCAAGAGGCAGCGCCCAGCCATTCATTCATTCCTGCGTAAGCCATGCGGAAGCGCTGCCACAGCGACTTGTGCAAGGTGGTCTGCAGTGAGCCCGAAGACGAAGTGGGCGAGAAGGAGAGCTTAGCCATAGCGATAGATGTAGTAGCGGCCATAGACGCCATAGCTGATAGGAGAGTGTAGCATGTGTGTGTACAGTGTGATGCGTGTGGGATATCCAGGGTGATCCGTGTGTGTGCGAACAGCAGAGTTGAGTTGGCGAGGAACAGAGAGATGTACAGGCACTATTGCGCCATAGCCATTTGAAGTGAACGCGTATCTGGACTGTACTCTTGGTTTCCATATCTCCGAGTTTTGAGTGGGCTGCGCTACCTGTTTGCATGCATGTGAAGTGTGAACGAGAGCGAGTCTGATTGCACATGGGTCACTGAGTACATTCCGGACTCGTATAGTTCTAGTACAGTACCCTGGATTCTATGGGTCAGATACAGGCAACACCGAATGGATCAGATGGTTAGGTCTACGCGATCGACTAGAGATGTCACAACACAGACCGGAACCCCAGACGGCAACGTCGATTTCTGCTCAGACACCAACGGACTCCGACCTGATCGAGTTGCTCGTTATTATAGAATTAAATGTTTCTCAATCGTTGTCAGCATCAGAGCATATGAGGTTCTCTGTCCATTTGAGTGTTAACTTTGTGCTTGGATACTGACTTGTTGTTTGCAGGTTCCAGGATCCACAGAACAGCACTCCCGAGGGTTACAGACACGAGGCGGATTGTAGGGTGTTGTTCCAACGCGCTGGGAGACTCCTTGGTCGACAACGGTGTCTCCATCTCTGCAGCAACGACCGGAGCTTTCTTTTTCTGCAGTTTTTCTCTGTGACCTGTTACCTCAGCTCTTGGTGGACGGGCCCGACTTTGTCCTCCACGAGAGTAAAGCCTCACATTTTTTGTGCTAGGTCTTATGATTGAGATTTCTCTTTTTAGACTTGTGCATGTTTAGAATGGGTGCGACAGGATGGAGCTTGTCTGAACATTGTGAACGCGCAGCCTGTTTTGGGGTATCTGTTCGTTCTGCTTCACAGTTTGTAACTGGGAGCTACTGTCTTCACCCGAATAAAAAGCCCGGTAATTATCACTGCATCTGGACCGAAAGTTGTGCCAAATACAGCTATAATGACCGGGCGTTCTATTCGGGTGAAGACGGTAGTTGTTTGGCTCGCAGTCTGCTCCGGTGGGAATTTGTTGAAATGAAGTGTCCCTTATTTAGGCTTGTGCATATTTTGAAAAGGACGGCGCTTATGAAGTCAGGAGCTTGCTCGGCTCTTTAGTCCGAAATCTGTTCGATTTGTCGTTAGTTTGTAGCAGGGTCGACAATTTCCCTGCTCGCAGTGCTCGGCCTGAAAATAGAGGACATGTTTTGTGAGCGGGTTGTGTCCTGCTGTGCCTTTAGTCCTCAGTTGGTTTGCATTTTGTTTTGCTGCCCTGGGCCTGTTTGTTTATCTGCTGCAGCTCTGGTTTTGCTATGGCTTTAGTCTTAGGGTTTAGGGTTTAGGGTTTGTTCCTCGACCCGCAGACCTGGGCATTGTTGTCGATCTGCTGAAGTTTTGGCCCTTTTCGGGCGATACATAAAGAGTAGGCGCCGATTGTTTCCCTGCCTTGTGCTGGGTCCGCCAGAGGCTGGACTTGGCCGGTGAGCCTCGACCAGGCCTTCTGACCTCCCTACTGGATGCAAGGGACTGCGGGCCCGCATCCCGGCTTGTCTTTCAAAAAAAAACAATAAAAAACACGAAAGAAGCACACAAGCAGCCAAAGCCCTCTTTCAAACTTAGTGCAATTATCCATTTACAATTTTTATTTATTTATCCATTAACAAATTTTCGTCATATTCGATCATTAACGGAACTGCAACTTTTTTGCTTTTTTTTGGTAATATTTGAATGCTAAGGGACATGCACCAGCAAATGTAACCAGATGAACAGAATAAAATAGTTACGAATTAACAAAACAAAACAAAAAAGGCCATGGGGACGCGAGGCCTTCATTTCTTAAGCAGCACACAAGCAGCCAAGCCCTGTCTCAAACATGGTGCAAATATTATCCATAATGATTCCATATACCTTTTTGTTTTTTTTGTTTTTTTTGTTTTTTTTGTTTTTTTTGTTTTTTAACAAAAGATAGAACCTTATGGTTCCGGCTCCATATCCATTCTAGGGAGCATCAGTCCGCTTTCTATTCCACCGGCAAGTCAGAAGAACATACATGCAGAATTCACGCACACTCTCCCCATTACGGTTGGGATTTTCCATATACAATTTTTATTTTGTTCTCTTCGTCATGCCAGATCACTACTAAGAGAAACACAACTTTTTTGTTTTCTTTAGTAATATTTGTACAGTGTACACTAAGGGAAATGCACCAGCCTTCCTCATCAAAGCACTAATACCTCCGCCAGTGTTGGGGAAATACTAAAATAGGAAAAACTGGCAGTTTTCCCGAACTCCTAAAAAATTGGCACCCGGGCCCGACGACGGCTGCCATTGATAAATCTCATCGGCGGCTGTCGTTTCGTTTCAGGCCCGCTATTTTCCCACTCGGCGAAGGTACTCGTGGTTTAAGAGAACTACTACCGACCATGGTGACCATTGATTGATGATGACGGAGTGGCTTTCAGCTCAGCAGCTCACTTCCCTTATAGTTGAGCTCGCCAAGTTTTACCTACCAATTTCACTCCAGAATCTCCCTCTCTCCCAACAAGCATCCTTTAAAAATGAAATGATTGGAAATCCGCCCCCCTCCCCCCCTCCAAAAAAAACGCACACCGCAGTCCTCTTCCTCCGTGCTTTTCTTTTTTCCCCCACTTATCAACTTTGCCATGTCCGGAGGGAGGGGATCATTGCATTGTGTCTGGTCATGACCATCACGGAGGGTGTTAATGACCACCGAGGCTTCTGACAACCAAGCAAGGTCCACGTGACATCTCATTTTAGTCGTAGGGCCTCGCTCCACTACTCAACAAGCGAAATGGATCTGACCTGGCCTCAGTCCCAATGCATTGCAAATGCTCGATCAATGCGAATGCACCTGGTCGATGTGCGTATTCAGATACTTGTCGAATGTTGAATAGACGAGCGAGGCCCATATTATCCGACCTGCTCCGGGTTTGAGCTCATGGATGGATAGGGTTCCTCAATCCCTCTCTCTCTCTCTCTCTCTCTCTCTCTCTCTCTCTCTCTCTCTCTCTCTCTCTCTCTCTCTCTCTCTCTCTTTTTTAAAGGGTCCCTTGATTTCCGCGTCATTGTCCCCTGACTCTCCTCATCATTTCAAGACTGCAGGTGGCTGGCTCTTTACTAGCTAGCTCAGGCAGGGTCAAGGCAGCCGAAAGGCATCAACTCACTGTCATTTCTTAGCGAAATCCTGACATTGTTTCTTGAAGGCGGTTGCTTCATCTTGCATGAACATGGCGATGCGTCTGACCATCTCGTCCATGTCCCACCGTGGACTGTACGGAAAGTCGTCATACAACCGAGATCGCAGAGGCTTTGAGGAGTTATCGAAATGCTGCGTACTTTGGAGATAGAAACTCGGTGGGACTTTTGGGAATGCGGCAGGCAGGGTAAAATGCGCCAAGAACGTGAAGACGTGAATGCACGCAACGATGGTGAACCTTCGAAAATACACGGTCTCGGCCTCGAGCGGATGGCCAAAGACCTTCGGGATCGCCTCGATGAACTGTCGTCGATAGTCCATTGCCATCCGCGCTTCTTTAACATTATCCTTCAGTTGATCTTGCAGGTTTATCAGGTACGCCATCAAGCACTCACTCTCCGTCCAAGGTTGAAACGGGATATCCGCCGTGTCCATCATCTCCCTTATGTTGACAGGAAGAGCGACTTTGAACTGCGGCGCGGGTAGTAGAGAAGACGTAGATGCCTTGTTCAGTGGAAACTTAACCTGCAATATTATGTTCTGGTAAGGCACCAGAGGGTTAAGCTCCTGCATCAAACTCTCCATGCCTGGAAGGTCAAGCCTGGGCCTCAGGTCCAGCAATGGGTGAAGGTCGACATCCACCATTGGGATGGCCAGTTGCACCTCCTCTGGCCTATCTTCAGGACCAACCAGGCAAATCTCCAGCCCCTCCCATGCACCTATAGAGTTGATTTCAAACCTCACTCTCTGGTTCTCAATTCTCTCGACGAGCTTTCTCTGGTGCCACAAGTAAAGGTACCTGAGCTGCAGCACCAGCCGCAAGAGCCTTGCGGAATCTCGAACGTTCCAATCTCGCAGCAATCCGAGCAGACCAACTTTCCCGGATGCTGCTGCTGGAATTTCTGGCATGACAAGAAGGGGCTGAAATGTCTCATTCTCCGCAGGGAACACAAAGTCTGGAGCCAAAGTGGGGTACGCTGCCTTGAAGATGATTTGCCATCGTATTCGCTCGAAGCAGCAAGGAACCACAAGTGTAAACCGATCCGCATACTTCGCATTCTCCGACCCTTTCCGCACATCCTCAATCTTGAAATCCAAGTCCCGGAATTCACGCACCCAGGCTACTTGCGCAGCTATCAAAGGTTCGAAGACCTCCGTCATCTCTCTCTCTCTCTCTCTCTCTCTCTCTCTCTCTCTCTCTCTCTCTCTCTCTCTCT